ATTATTTTTTTTACTTTTAGTCATATAACGCTGTTCAATCACATTTTATATGGACCACTATTACTTGGAAGTACAGCTATATTTACTGAAGTGAGATTAGGGGACAGGTTGGTTGAACCCTGCCTACTCACCTGCCTTCCTCTTTTTTTTTTAACCCTCCATTCTCCAGCAGCTGTTCTTGAGGGGAATTTGAGGAATCCCCGGGGTTCTAAGGAGTACAGTTTGAAAATGACTGCCTTACAGCAACTCTTGAGGTAGTAAGTCTGATACTATTTTCTATATTAGGTACTGAGACTCAGTTCATAGAAGTGAGTTAGTCAAGGTTTATTAGAACAAAATGCAAACCCAGGGATGATTAGACAGAATAAATGGTCATATGTGCCTTTGAATTATATTTGATATTGTCATAATTGTGTATTGTTTCATTGGTAATTGACTTTTTCATCTTAACCTTCCTTGTATTCATACAGGTTTTTGTAAGGCCAGCTTCCTTCCGTTACTGGAATTTGCCTATACTTCTGTACTAAGTTTTGACTTCTGTAGCATGGCTGATGTAGCCATCTTAGCTCGTCATCTTTTCATGTCAGAAGTCTTAGAGATTTGTGAAAGTGTACATAAGCTAATGGAAGAGAAGCAGCTAACAGTATATAAGAAGGGCGAAGTACAAACAGTTGCATCCACCCAGGACTTACCATTACAGAATGGAGGTCCAGCACCTTCCATGGCTAGCAATGAGGGAAGCACAACCACTTTATCCACGGACCTTGGGGATTGTGAAATTGTACTGTTGGTGAATGGAGAATTGCCAGGAGCTGAGCCCAATGGAGGGGTAGGACGACAGCCTGAGCCCCAGGTTTCTTCAGAGGCTGAAGCTGTCCAGTCGTCTGTAGGATGTGTAGCTGATTCCCATCCTGAAATGGGGTCTATCGATTTAACAAAAAACAACCAGATGGAACTAAAAACTTCAAACAACAGAGAAAATAACACAGTTTCTAATACATATCCTAAACTTTCAAAAGAGACTGTAATTAGTAGCTCACCAGAGGATAGTGATGTGGGAAATGATATATCTGCTGAGGATATTTGTGCCGAAGGCATTCCAAAACATACGCAGAATGTTGACCAGCCTTTAGAAGATCAGGAAAATCTAGTTCCATCAACAGCAAAGACAGACTTTGGCCCTGATGATGAAACTTACAGAAGCAGGCTTCGACAACGTTCTGTTAATGAAGGGGCATATATTCGACTACACAAGGGAATGGAGAAAAGGCTGCAGAAACGGAAAGCCATTCCCAAGTCAGCAGTTCAACAGGTATGATGCAAAAAGGGTAGACCTTTGTAGCTTTAGCTTTAGGTTAAAAGCATTCTATTGATGAACTTATGGCTATAGTGAAAATTATTTGGGAGGGGAGATGGGTGCAAGGTAGCAACTTAATGCTTTAAATGCCAGTGTTAATAAGATAATGTGAATGTGAAATCTTTTTGTTAGAAATTTATAGCATGAGTTTAAAAATTGAGTATGTTTACTTAGATTGTGATTTCTGTCTCTTACTAGGTGGCTCAGAAGTTAGTTCAAAGAGGCAAAAAAATGAAACAGCCAAAAAGAGATACTAAAGAGAACACCGAAGAAGCATCCCATAAATGTGGGGAATGTGGAATGGTTTTTCAGAGACGATATGCCCTTATAATGCACAAACTGAAACATGAAAGAGCTAGAGATTATAAATGTCCAGTAAGTATTTAGAAAGCTAATTGAAGATAACTCTAATCTTATGTAGAATCCAACTTACTGTTGTGTTGTCTTTTCACTTGTATTTCACTTGTCTTACATGGCCGTAAGAGTCATCTTCTGAGTTAAATGTGCATGTCATTTACTTGCCTTCCCAAAATATTCAGTGACTTATCTCTGCTTCCTCCTGATACCCTAGTAAAACAACAGTAAAAAGATCATTTTAAAAATGTAACTCATAAAAAGGCAGAAGATCTTAACAACTAAATTCTAGATATGAATAAATAGATGGAGTAACTTATTCAGCAGATTTGAAAGAATTCACTTCCAGGTTTTCAGTGGGGAAAGTTAAGAATCAACTCAAATTGTATTGTAGAACCACCAGAATGTCTCAGGAATTAGTGGTGCTAGCTGCCTTGAAAGTAGAGGCAATTAAATCACCACCGCTGCCCCCTTAGCCAAAAAAACCATCTTCTTTTTTTTTTTTTTTTTTTTTTAAAAGCCTACGGCACCCGGTATTCCCAGACAGTCTCGAAAAAACCATCTTCTACTCCTTGGAAAAGATAAGCTGGGAACGGTGGCTCATACCTGTAATGCCAGCACTCTGGGAGGCCAAGGCAGGTGGATCACCTGAGGTCGGGCGTTCAAGACCAGCCTGACTAACATGGAGAAACCCTGTCTCTACGAAAAAATACAAAATTAGCTGGGCGTGGTGGCACGTGCCTGTAATCCTAGCTACTCAGGAGGCTGAGGCAGGAGAATCGCTTGAACCCAGGAGGCTGAGGTTGCGGTAAGCTGAGATTGCGCCATTGCACTCCAGCCTGGGTAACAAGAGCTAAACTCCGTCTCAAGAAAAAAAAAGGAAAAGATAAAGCCATAACTCCACTGGGGAGTGCTATGTACAGTGAAGCTAAATGTGCAATACCTAAAAGGGGGAAAGGTAAAAGCATAAAAGCATACTGAATATTGTCTTTTTGGTTTGTTTGTTTTTTGGAGATGGAGTCTTGTTCTGTCACTCAGGCTAGAGTGCAATGGCATGATCTTGGCTCACTGCAACCCCCACCTCCCAGGTTCAGGTGACTCTTCTGCCTCAGCTAGCTCAGTATCTGGGACTACAGGCATGGGCTACCATGCTTGGCTGATTAGTTTGTATTTTTAGTAAAGACAAGTTTCACTATGTTGGCCAGGCTGGTGTCAAACTCTTGAACTCAAGTGATCCGTCTGCCTTGGCCTCCCCAAGGTCGGGGATACCACGCGTGAGCCACTGCACCCGGCCGAAGTTCGTTCTTTACTCAAGTCCTGGGATATAGGCATCCAGACATTAACTGTAAAGCAGCAGGATTTCTCAGAGATGAAAAATCTGAAGCCCAATAACAAAAGACCTAAAGATACTACTGACTAAAGCTCATGGTTAACAACAATCCCCTCCTCACTCAGGTGGAAATTCCGATGAATTATTTTTTTTTAAGAGATGGGGTTTCACTATGTTAACCAGGCTGGTTTCAAACAAACTCCTGACCTTGCAATCCACCTGCCTCAGCCTCCCAAAGTGCTGGGATTTACAGGCGTGAGCTACCACACCTGGCTCCAATGAATTTTTTAATGTTTCATTCTAAAATATGAACAGATATTAGGGACTATTAGACTCATGACAAAAGATTTCAAGAAAACAACTTTGGCTGGGCACAGTGGCTCATACCTATAATCTGAACATTTTGGGAGGCCGAGGCAGGTGGATTGCTTGAGCTCAAGAGTTTAAGACCAGCCTGGGCAACATGGTGAAACCCTGTCTCTAAATATAAAAATTAACTGGACATGGTGGCACACACCTGTAGTCCCAGCAACTTGTGGGGGGGCTGAGGTAGGAGGATGGCTTGAACCCAGGAGGTCAAGACTAAAGGGAGACAAGATTGCCCCACTACACTCTAGTCTGGGTGACAGAGTGAGACCCTGTCTCTTAAAAAAAAAAAAAAAAAAAAAGACAACTTTGAGGAACCCAAGACTAGCAAGAAAAAACTGAAAAAACCTCAAAGTATTTTATATAAGAGATAAATGAACAAATTATGTTTACAGAACAACTAGGTACTATGTTTTTGTTTTTTGTGTTTTCTTTGAAACAGAGTTTCATTCTTGTTGCCCAGGCTGGAGTGCGGTGGTGTGATCTCAGCTCACCGCAGCCTCCTCCTCCCAGGCTCAAGCAATTCTCCTGCCTCAGCCTCTTGAGTAGCTGAGATTACAGTCATGTGCCACCGTGCCTGGCTAATTTTGTATTTTTAGTAGAGACGGGGTTTCTTCTTGTTGGTCAGGCTGGTCTTTAATTACCGACGTCAAGTGATCCGTCCACCTCAGCTTCCAAAAGTGCCGGGATTACAGACATGAGCCACCACACCGGGCAGTACTATGTTTTTAAAAGGGCACATTGAGGCTGAGCATGGTGGCCTATTCCTATAATCTCAACACTTTGGGGGCAGAGGTGGATCACCTAAGCCCAGGAGTTCAAGACCAGGCAGTATAGCAAGACTCCATCTCTACCAAAAAAAAAAAATTTTTTTTTTTTTTTTTTTTTTTTTTTTTTTTTTTTTTTTTTTTTTTTTTTTTTTTGAGACAGAGTTTTGCTCTTGTTACCCAGGCTGGAGTGCAATGGCGCGATCTCGGCTCACTGCAACCTCCGCCTCCTGGGTTCAGGCAATTCTCCTGCCTCAGCCTCCTGAGTAGCTGGGATTACAGGCATGCGCCACCATGCCCAGCTAAAAAAAATGTTTTTAATAAAAGATCACATTGGCTGGTCCAAAGTTAGTGAGTTATCTCCATTGATTGTTCACAGTTACAGATCGAACTCCTTGTTTAACTCTTTACCCCCTTCTCACTACTGCACTTGACTAATGTTTAAAAAAAAAAAAAATATATATATATATATATATATATACACATATATACATATATATATATATATAAAGTTGTGTTAGTCAGGCACAGTGGCCCACACCGGTAGTCCCAGCACTTTGGGAGGCCAAGGCGGGCAGATCACAATGTCAAGAGATCGAGACCATCCTGGCCAACATGGTGAAATCCCATCTCTTGGAAAAATACATTAGCTGGGCATGGTGGTGCACACCTGTAGTCCCAGCTACTTGGGAGGCTGAGGCAGGAGAATTGCTTGAACCTGGGAGGCGGAGGTTGCAGTGAGCCGAGGTCGCACCACTGCACTACAGCCTGGCAACAGAGAGAGACTCCATCTCAAAAGAAAAAAAAAAGTTATTAGTATAAAGGACACATTAAAATAACTAAAGAGTTTTTTAGGAATAACACATATAGCATCATCTAAAAATCTCAGAAAAGTTGGGAAATAAACTAATGAAATATCCCAGAAAATAGCGCAAAAAGACAAGTTAGAAATGGAAGTGAAAAAAAAAATCATAGGATTTGTCTAAGATATTCAGTATACAATTATTATTTTCAAACAACATGGAAAACATTAATAAAAATTTCAGAACTTAAGGATAGAAGTTTTTGTGTTAAAGTAGTACACTGAATGCCCAGAACAGTGGATGAAAATAAAACTATTAAAGTACATTATAAAATTTCAGAATAAGGGACAAAAGTAAAATAAATTGCCAGAGGAAAGACAAAAACGTTGTCAGTCTCAAAAAGAATGAGAATCAGAATGGCTTTAGGCTTTTCAACAACAGCAACAGAAACTAGAAGACAAAGCTACAATGTGTTTAAAATCTAAAGAGAAATGATTTCTGGCTTGAAATCTTACAGCCAATCAGTCAAACTTTTAATTACTTACGTTGGTAGAATAAGAATATTTCAGACATGCCAGGTCTCTAAAGTATTACTACCCAAATTTTCTCAAGAAGCTATTGACATATGTTTCACTAAAATGAGCAAGACATGGTAAATGGAAAACGTGGTGTTCAATTCAACAGAGTCCTAGAGGATTCATTAGGAAAATAGTGAAGGGAGATCCCAGGATGAAGCTATGTACCAGGCACTGGGAACAATTAGCCCCAGGACATAATTTTTTTTTTTTTTTTTTTTTTAGACAGGGTCTTGCTCTGTTACCCAGGCTAGAGTACAACGACGCTATCAGTGCTCACTGCAGCTTCCACATCCCAGGCTCAAATGATCCTCCTGTCTTAGCCTCCCAAATAGATGGGACCACAGGCATGCACCACCATGCTCGGCTAATTTTTGTATTTTTTTGTAGAGACGGTTTTACTATGTTGCCCAGGCTGGTCTCAAACTCCTGGACTCAAGTGATCCGCCCTCTTCAGCCTCCCAAAATACTAGGGTTACAGGCATAAGCCACCATGCCCAGCCCAGGACATAATGGTTTGAAGAGATTTCCAAAAAGGTGATGGGTTTTAAATCTCCTCCCAGTACAGTTGGGGGCAGGGTTTGGCAAATTAGTAAGTGCAAAGAGAATTAAGTAAAACAAAAAGCAAGAAAGGAAAAAGAATTATAGTGTACTGTATGTGGCCCAGTGGTAATAATATTTATATCCAAAAATGCAAGCCTCAAAATTGGTCTACTCAAGAATATGATATAACAGTATTGATAAAGAGGAGTAATGGAAATCATTTACGTGTCTAAGTAGGGAGTAGGGGAGTGAAAATGCGAATCAACTTCCATTATGTATGTAACATAGAGTTACAAAGAGAAGCATTGAGGGCTTCATCCAAGCACAACTGCAATTAAAAACAAAGTCAAAGATAACTCTAGAAGCAAAATATAGTGGCGATGATTGGCCAGGAGACCAGTTTTACTTGTTTTAAAAAATAGGTTTTGAAGAGGGTAAGCATATATAACTTTGATTTTAAAATGAACAAAACTTTTGTGAATCTTCAACTATGAGATAAAATCCAAGGACCATTAATCATAGCCTTATATTTCTATTTCCAGGCCCTACTTCTATTCCACATGACAGCTATTAATACTCATACTAATGATAGTATTCTTTTTTTTAACCATTCCTGTAAGACCTATTTGAAGCCCAACCTTCTTGATACTTCACTTTTTTTAACATATAAGTCTTGTGCTGTTGAGGTTAGGTGATCGAGACCATCCTAGCCAACATGGTGAAACCCCACCTCTACTAACAATACAAAAATTAGCTGGGCGTGGTGGCACACGCCTGTAGTCCCAGCTACTCTGGAGACTGAGGCAGGGGAATCGCTTGAATCTGGGAGGCGGAGGTTGCAGTGAGCTGAGATCACGCCACTGCACTCCATCCAGCCTGGGACAGAGTGAGACTGTGTCTCAAAAAAATAAAAAATGTCTTCCAACTATTTCAGCTTTAAAAAAAAAAAAAGAAAAGAAAAATAAGAAATGACCAGGCGAGGTGGCTCATGCCTATAATCCCAGCACTTTGGGAGGCCAGGGTGGCTGGATCATGACGTCAGGAGTTCGAGACCAGCCTGGCCAACATAGTGAAACCCCATCTCTACTAATAATACAAAAAATTAGCCAGATGTGATCGCAGGCACCTGTAATCCTAGCTACTCAGGAGGCTGAAGCAGGAGAATTGCTTGAACCAGGAGGCAGAAGTTGCCGTGAGCCCAGACTGTGCCACAGCACTCCAGCCTGGGCAACAGAGTGAGACTCCATCTCAAAATAATAGTAAAAATAAAATAAAATTTAAGAAAACAAATATCTTGTACTGTCATCAGACTTCAGCCTCTCCAGAATAGGACTTGAGTCTTATCCCTTTTGTCTTTATAATCTAGTACCTATTGTTTTTTTACATACATGTGTTTATTTATTTATATAATTGTAACAAAAACAAAGTTCAAATATGAGTTGAGTTTCATTTAACATTTTGTAATGATAATACAGTTAATGAGAATTTTGTTTCCTTTTCTTTTAGTTGTGTAAAAAGCAGTTTCAGTACAGTGCTTCCTTGCGAGCACACCTTATTCGTCATACCAGAAAAGATGCACCCTCTTCATCTTCATCCAATTCCACATCTAATGAAGCATCAGGAACATCATCTGAGAAGGGCAGAACCAAACGGGAATTTATATGTTCCATATGTGGAAGAACATTACCTAAATTATACTCTCTTCGAATACATATGTTAAAGCACACAGGTGTAAAGCCACATGCATGCCAGGTAAAGCTATGACATTTATTTTGCTATTTAAAGAACATTAGAACTTAACTATGGGCGCCAGAGACTGGTGGGATAAGTATTCTCAAGTCACTCATATTTGTAAAATGTCAGGGAAATGTATTACTTTTTTAATGCCTAGATCAAAGGTGATTCCCTATCATCATACATTTTTAATTTGCTCTCTGAAGTTGTAATTTAAATCTATTTAAGATGTTTGTGAAAACTTACTAGGGTCCAGAGAATGTATAGGGTAAAAAACCAATTTATCCTTCCAGCCATTCCTTAATCTTCAACAGGACCAACCTGGACTGGAAAGGAACCCATGGCTTTAACAAATCTCTATGGTCCATAAAAGTTCTGCCTATGCTGTGTTCTTCTCTAGAGCTAAGGATTGAAAGTACCTAAATGCCAGGCCGGGAGCAGTGGCTCACACCTGTAATCCCAGCACTCTGGGAGGCCAAGGCAGGTGGATCACAAGGTCAAGAGTTTGAGACCAGCCTGGCCAACGTGGTGAAACGCCATCTTTACTAAAAATCAAAAAACAAAATACTAGCTGGGCATGGTGTCGGATGCCTATAATCCTCAGCTACTTGGGAGGCTGAGGCAGGAGAATCGCTTGAATCTGGAAGGCGGAGGTTGCAGTGAGCTGAGATTGTACCACTGCACTCCAGCCTGGGCAACAGAGCAAGAATCTGTAAAAAAAAAAAAAAAAAAAAGGCACCTAACTGCCAAATCAGGAATCCTGTAATTAGCTGCTTCGGGCTGTTTGGAACAGTGAAAAATTTCCAGTAGCACTTGTAACCTTATATATGAGTATGACTCAGTTTGGGTTTTTTCTGTCTGTTTTGAGACAATGTATTGCTCTATCACCCAGGCTGGATTGTAATGGCATGATCACAGCTTACTGTGGCCTCCACCTCCCAGAGGCTTAAACCATCCTTCCACCTCAGCCTCCCAAGTAGATGGGATTACAGGTGTGCACCACCACACCTGGCTAATTTTTTTTTTATATATTTTGTGGAGATGGGATCTCACTCTCTTGCCCAGGCTGGCCTCAAACTCCTGGGCTCAACTAGTGTTCCTGCCTCAGGCTCCCAAAATACTGGAATTATAGGTGTGAGCCACTAGGCCAGGCCTGGTGGCTCACACCTGTAATCCCAGCACTTTGGGTGGCCGAGGCAGGCAGATCACCTGAGGTTGAGAGTTTGAGACAAACCTGACCAACATGGAGAAACCTCATTTCTACTAAAAATACAAAATTAGCCGGATATGGTGTCCTGTCTGAAATCCCAGCTACTCAGGAAGCTGAGGCAGGAGAGTCACTGGAACCTGCGAGGCCCAAGTTGCAGTGAGCCAAGATTGCACCATTGCACTCCAGCCTGGGTAATGAGAACAAAACTCTGACTTAAAAAGTTTTGGAACCAATGAGATTTTTTCTTTCTTTTTTTATTTTAATAATTTTCAAGCCGGGTGTGGTGGCTCACGCCTGTAATCCAAGCACTTTGGAGGCCAAGGCGGGTGGATCACCTGAGGTCGGGAGTTCAAGACCAGCCTGACCAACATGGTGAAACCCCATCTTAAAAAAATAATAATAGGCCGGGCGCGGTGGCTCAAGCCTGTAATCCCAGCACTTTGGGAGGCCGAGGCAGGTGGATCACGAGGTCAAGAGATCGAGACCATCCTGGTCAACATGGTGAAACCCCGTCTCTACCAAAAATACAAAAAATTAGCTGGGCATGGTGGTGCGTGCCTGTAATCCCAGCTACTCAGGAGGCTGAGGCAGGAGAATTGCCTGAACCCAGGAGGTGGAGGTTGCGGTGAGCCGAGATCGCGCCATTGCACTCCAGCCTGGGTAACATGAGTGAAACTCCGTCTCAAAAAAATAATAATAATTTTCGAGGAACAGGTGGTGTGTGATTACATGCATAAGTTTTTTAGTGATGATTTCTGAAATTTTGGTGTACCCATCACCTGAGCAGTATACACTGTACCTGGTGATGTAGTCTTTTATGCCTCACTCCCAACTCACCATTTCCCCCTTATTCATAGCTTAGTTCTCACTTATAAGTGAGAACATACGATGTTTGGTTTTCCATTCCTGAGTTGTTACTTCACTTAGAGTAATGGTCTCCAAACGTTATAACCTGGGAGGCAGAGGTTGCAGTGAGCCAAGACTGCACTCGTGTGTGTGTGTGTGTGTGTGTGTGTGTGTATACACACACACACGCACCCATATATACCACATTTTCTTTATCTGCTTGTTGAATTATGGACATTTGAGCTGGTTTCATATTTTTGCAACTGTGAATTGTGCTGATGTAAACATACATGTGCACGTACCTTTTTCATATATCAATGAGATTTTTTAAAGACAAGGTCTTTCCTGTTCTGTTGCCCAGGTCAGAGTACAGTGGCATTATCTTAACTCACAGTAAACTCAAACCCCTGATTTCAAGCAGTCCTCCCGTATCAGCCACCCAAGCAGCGAGGACTTCAAGTGCATGCCACCACACCCACCTAACTTTTTTCTTTTTTTTTTTTTCAGTTTTTGTAGGGTCTTGCTATATTGCCCAGGCTGGTCTTGAACTTCTGGTCTCAAGCTCTTCTTCCATCTTGGCCTACCAAAGTGCTGGGATTATAGGGGATTATAGGCAAGAGCCACTACACTTGGCCTCCAATGAGTTGTTTTATATTTCTCTCTTTTTTGTACCCTTTTATTATATTAGAGAATGAGGTGGACCCTCATGTACCCTTCACCCAACTTCAGTAGTTACCAGCTCGTGGTCACATGTGTTTTATGTATACTCTTTTTTTTGGACACAGTTTCACTCTTGTTACCCAGACTGGAGTGCAATGGCATGATCTCAGCTTGCTGCAACCTCTGCCTCCTGGGTTCAAGCAATTCTCCTGCCTCACCCTCGCGAGTAGTTGGGATTACAGGCATGTGCCACCATGCCCTGCTAATTTTGTATTTTTAATAGAGACTGGGTTTCTCCATGTTGTTCAGGCTGGTCTTGAACCTCCAACCTCAGGTGATCCACCTGCCTCAGCCTCCCAAAGTGCCGGGGTTACAGGCATGAGCCACCACCCCGACCTTGTGTATACTCTTATTGATTACCCTACTCCCACATCCCCTCTCCCCCGCCAGTTATGAAGCCAAGTCCTAAGGATCACTTTATTTATAAATGTATGTATGTATGTATGTATTTTTATTTATTTATTTTTGAGACACATTCTTGCTCTGTCACCCAGGCTGGAGTGTGGTAGTGTGATCTTGGCTCACTGCAACCTCCACCTCCTGGGTTCAAGCAAGTCTCCTGCCTGAGACTCCCGAGTAGCTGGGATTACAGGCACCTGTCACCATACCTGGCTTTTTTTTTTTT